CCCCCTCGTCCTCGCCTTTAATGTGCTGTAACCCGAGCGCAAGCCGTCGAGGCCACCGATTACAGAGTGCAGTTGGACCACGAAGTAGTAGGAAGTCGAAGACTGTTGTATTCCCACGAATCGAGGCCTTGCGACGGACGGAAGTTGCAAACGTTGTATTCCATCCACTTCCGCCGGATGAGCTATTGAATACGCCAATGGTTTCTATCTGCTTGGGGCTCAATTACTGCCAAGCCGCCGTCCCTCTCGAAGAACTCTTTTTTATCGAAAACGGGCTACACTCATGTGACAAATAAAAGTATTTCTCAGGCCGAAAATTTTACCGCATCCGTTGTTGTACAAACAACACAAAGGAAGGTCTCTCTCTCTAGTATATTTTGTAGTTTAAGAAGTGTGCCAAATAACAAAGGAGTTCCGGCCCCGTACGCTAGCATTGGGGTATCTCGGTCATCTACGAGGAATTTCGTCTGCTCTAGCCATTAATACAGTCACCATATGACGTCAGTGACCCATGAGCACACCGAAAAGTTTATGCACAACGCTTCTCGTTTGCTTCAAACAGATCGGCCAAGATTCCTTTCTTGCAAGTATTTACTGCAATGAGGTGCCCCATTGGTGTAATGAGTGGTTAAGGTAGATTGTGATGAACTACAGTATATCTAGAGCTGGCTTACTGCCACACCTCTATTATATATCGCCTTGAAATGGTTGTTATGGTTTGGTGATCTCGTTCTTTAAGCGTTGGGTTAACAATCGGCATTTCTTGTAGACAGGACCTCCTATGTTAGAGCAGGAACTACAACCGCCGACTCCCTCTATACGCTCACAACTCCATGCAAAGAATTAGGTTAAGGTTGAGTCAATTTCACTATTGCGAAATTCTAAGTTTAAAATGTTGATATACACTTTAATTCCACAATAGGTTGCTATATCCTTCTCCTTTTTTAAAATAATAATTCAACCGTGCAGGTAGTGATATTCTATGCAAGCTCTTCTACGAAGTTGTTAAATACCTGTTAGTACTTTTAAGATACAGGACTATATTCTCCCTGCATAACGTAGTGACATACAATCCATTCACAAACACAATTCTCATACTTAACTACATATACTATTCTTTCAAGGTACATTTATAATTTGTGGAATATTGTCGGGGAAAAATACAATAGGCACAATAAACTATTTTTCGTTATTTTCCCTAATTAATAGTCGAGATCATCAACTATAAGGTTCCAGTTTTACGTTGTGATTAGTGATTTCGGACGCGTCAGCTAATGGATTACTGGTTTGAGAAAGTCATATCGGGTCGTTGATGAAGTATCCGGTGTTTCATCGATGAGTGCGCGCAAAGTGAGCGATCTGATTCGATTCTTGCGTAGCTGATAAAATTTGTTCTTGATATCTTATAGAACCACATCATACCAAATTTACTACCGCTAGATGTCACGTTGTCAGCGGTTTTCAATAATGTAGATGCCTGTGTGGCAATAATCTGGTGATAAGATAAACGGAGCTGCATATAGTGATGGGCATGTTCACCCGGGCGTACATGCTTCTGTCTTTTAATTATGCCTTCCAGAGCGAGAGATCCACGCCACGGTATTGCCACGAATATTCCCCACGCCATCCACGATCCCTGCCTCGTGGACTTCTGGAAAATACCTGGGTATAATTGTAAACATCTACGGACTAAGGGTAAAAAGTACTGAAAATTCGGGCATTTAGTGCTTGGTCCCTGAATGAGGTCTCTGGAAGCTTTTTTCGCGCTTGGGCACAGTGTCTCTTTCTGTGGTTCATTTTTTGCAAAGACCCAACTTGAAAATAATCTTGCCACCAACAGCTAGCCTTCTCTTTCTGAACAGCATTTGCAATAAACATATGTAAACACATTATGCAGGCAACACAAAGAAAGGCTTCGTGAGGAAAATGAGATCTCACATCACGCACACAAGAGAGTGCTTGTCTGCTGACTCATCTCAGATTGGTTAGGCTTTGAACTACGCCGGAATTTTTTGCTCTCCCCTCTTAGTGCCACAGTGCGAGAAGATTGGTTTGTTTCAATGAGTGGTCACCCCACGTCCCATGGTTACAAAAACGCAAGAGCGGGCCGGGGTCATGCATTTACAATCGCCAAACTGTCCGTGGAATGGAGCGGTTGCAGCGAGGGCTAATTACTGAGATTCCATTTAAATGAAAAAATAGGAGGCGAAGAGAAGAACGCAGGACGATAATTGTGTGGGACTTTGAATCAAGTTTATTTTCACTTGCAAAATGAAGGTTTACGATGAACTGTTTATAACATCGGCCACACACGATTTATGATTCTAGAATGTAAAATTCTGATACTCCTTCTTACACCTTCCGTTTGCCTCCCGAATGAAATCTACAGTAACAATGAAATAAATCAATTCCTGTAATATGGTAAATAATTGATATTTGTCAATTCTGTAATTAAACTGAAACTCCTCCGTACATCTATCTATACCAAAGTAGATGGAAACGCAAACATAAACAGAATTATTTGTTTTATCGTTAATAATCAAGCGCATTCTAAAACTTCCCTGTAAACCACAAACGTGTAATATTTATCGCATGCATCACGACAATTCAGAAATGCCAATAAACAGAATTGTACAAACGCAATACTCATACCAAAATTGAAAATTGCCAAAATTAAAAATTTTTTTTTTGTTTTTCCCTTGGTTGTTCCACAACTCTTGTCTGTAAAATTTGATCGGTAATTGCCTCGATGAAACCTCTACGACAATATACAAATTAAATTTTGTCCGAATGTTTTCAAGGGGAAAAAAAGAGAAACATTTCTCGCCAACCATTCACACTATTTGAGTGTTATTTATACGTTTGTTACTAACAAGGAGAGACGAAAAGTGAATTGCATATTACTGCAAAAAAAAAAAAAATACAGGCTGTTTCTAATTACGAAAAAGCCTTTCATAATGTGAGAAAAAGGTGTTCTTACGTAACTTCATGTGGTCAGCTTATGATCTCTTCTTGGATGTGATACCTACTAGCTACCTCGAGAGCTTTCCGAAATTCAAGTCGGTCAGACTA